CTCAGCATTTGGTGTACAGTTCAAATTTAAATTTTGGTGTTCAACTTTGCGTTTCAAAAATACAACAACCGTTCATTTTTCGTTTTGCAATTACGGGTTAAATAAGGTAAAACGAATGGATTCATAAAATTCATAAAAGAAACAATAATTACAGGAATAGCCTACTGGACTCTAAACCTCAAAGAAATGCCACAATCAAGACCTCGGAGCTGAAATGAGGGAGAACTCCGTGTCTTTCCCTGCTATTAATTAATGCCATTAATGCGTCTCCTTCCATTAATAATAATAATGTCTAGTGCGGTGGCTACCAACGTCCGTTGCCATGATTTTTGGAATGATTATGGAAAAAAAGACGTTTAGTTGCATAACATCGGTCATTTGGCAATAGTTTTTTTATCGACATTTAGAAAAAAAGGCAAAAGTTTTGCGCAAATCTGTAATGGAAACGCGCGTAATGGCGAGCGAAAGAGAGAGAATGTTGTTGCAGCTGGAACTAATCGACGTTGAACAACAAATTATTTTATTGCAAATGTTTAATCGCAGAAGTGATTTAATCGTTCCTCAACGTGATACATCGTTGAAACAAACTGCGCACTTTAAAAATGGCGGAAAACCGGAAAACCGGAAAAGCTACACTCCCGAAATGATGTATAATCTGACCAATCACAGCCCTTGCGGTCTGCGTCGCCTCGACGCGTAGTTACAATTTTTTGGAGGTGCACGTCGAGCTACGGCGGAGGGGTCGGAGAGGGGTTCGCGGCGACGCAGAGGGCTCTGCGGGGGTACGCCGTCGATTCGACGCAGAAGCATAAAACAGGCTTCAGGCTGAACAGATGTGATGTGCTTGGGTTTCCCTTCCAGCTGTTTGAGGTGTAACCTCACGGCCATTAGAGGGCGCTATGGTACACACACACACACACACACACACACACACACACACACACACACACACACACACACACACACACGCCATTTCCATTATTTAGACACTATCACACACACACACACACACACACACACACACACACACACACACACACACACACACACACACGCCATTTCCATTATTTAGACACTATGACAGAAATATTTGCACACTTACATCCATACTATTTTCAGTTTATTATTGTGCATATAATACTACCTTAAATCCAATAGTCTTCACATGTATTCACAATGTTTGCATGCTAAATTCAAGCAACTTTTGGGAGCTTGATGTATGATGCTCAACTTGCGGGGTTTAAAAGACGATTAAAATTCAGAAACACTATCGGATGAGAACAAAACTTTGAACTGTATTAAGCTGGATGATGACACTAACTTTGTAACATCTACACTGTTATTGAACTGAACTGAATCAACAATGAACTAAATTGAGTAGAATAATAACACCTTTCTTCTGCCGAGCTGCTTTACAGCTGAAATCATAAATTATGAATTTTGCTAAATGAACACTGTTGTTTATTATTGTGAAGCTGATTTGAAACAATGCATTATTAATATTTGACATACATTCTTAATGTTGTTGAGCAAATGTTCTCAAAAGTCAGAACGTCCTTAGATTTAATAAATATTTGCTTCATGTTTTTGTAATGTTAGCAGAAACATTATGACAATGTTCATGGAATATATTATGTTATGTGGTGTTAAATGTTCTTATCTCTTGGGATATCACATAACCTTTTGGGAGAAAACATTTTTGACCATTATTCTCAGAAAGTCCTTTAATCATTGGAAGGATCAGCGAACAGGGAACGTTCTTCTGAACTATAATGTTCTTAATGAATAACAATAGAACGTTCTCACAATGTTTTCAATATTATAGAATGGGAATGTTCCTCTAATGTTCAGATCACCAAGAAAAAACTTTCTTAATACATTAAAAAACTGGACATTAAAGGCTTAAAAATATCCAGAAATAACCTTTTTCATAACTTAATGGGGATGTTATCAAAACGTTTTTAGAACATTTTTCGGATTGATAAGAGTATGTGAACCGGGACACAACAATACTGTGCATACTGCATACTAGCAGCATTCCAGACATGCTCTGTTGTTCTTTAAGATGATGGCGCCCTCTAGTGGAGATGATGGCGCCCTCTAGTATTAAGATGAAACATGAATCAAAGACAGAAAGAAAGAGAGACAGAGAAAAACAACCAAGATACCGAGCTGTATGTTCTGACAAGGTTCTCTCAAAGTTACGAACAAATATTATTCCAGTAACGTTAATAGAACGTTTGATTAACCTTACCTGGTCTTTAATGTTCTCAAAACGTCAGCACAAAAACATTACTTATACATCGTTCATTTTATATGTAACTACTTGTTTCGGAATGTTCGGAGAACATTTAAAAGACCTTATGTAGCCCCGCCCCTTTTCCGCGCTGAGCTCATTGTCTCTTGACTTCCGGTCTGTATTTTCACAGCGATCTTGCGTAGTTATGAATGAACGGCTCATTTAAAAAAAATCCCAAGGTCCATTTGTTAAGAAGACATAAGCTTTACAATGCTTATCATAAACATTACAATGCTCATGATAACTTTCGTTAACTCTACAATAAGTAAATCAACTTCACCAGCTAATTACTCCTGGACAGCGATGCCATAGAAATATACAGAGCGACCGCAAAAACGGAAGTTCAAAGACAATATTCTAAAGATGGCGGCGCCCTCGTTTCTCTGGTGCATAAGGTCTATTATGTTTGCAAAATGGAATGTTCGCTAAAAGGAAGCGAACATTCTTTTTTTTTTGTTATGCTGGTTGAAAGTCTCTTCACATCCTGATAGCAATCACTAAGTTGAGTGTTTGAAATGTAATTATATGTATATATTTCATCTGTGGAAGGCATAGGACCATAACATGTGTGTCCATTCATTGAATTCGGTCCGAGGGCAACGATAGGATGTCCTTCCTGCCTGTCAGCGTATGTATTTCCATACCTCCACGCACCTGCTCGCGCAGACATCACACGTCATCTGCGCGTTTCATGCTATGAGTTACACAGACGTCAGTCACCGAGCAACGCAAACGACACAGCAGCCGCCTTTCACAGCTCCTCCTGAACCAAAACAACAAGCTTATGCTGCGTTCACGCCATTTGGAAACCCATGACGTTATACTCGGAGCGGTTCATGACTCAAATTTATGCCTTTCAATGAAATCTGCAGCAGTCAGGTGATACAGGTCAGTACTCTTTAAGTAATGTTCATTATTATTGTAATGTTATGTGCTTTAAGACATGAAGTAGTTTAACGCCGTCTCTCGTGATGATTTTGTTTGCTCCCTGCTGTGTGTGTTCATGTGTTTTGGAAGAGTGGCGGCTTTGGAGACGTTCGGAAGGGAGGGTGGGATTTTATACTCTCAAAGCTAGCTCGCTATTGCTAGCCTGTTCAGTTTTCATAACTTAATGGAAATGTTAAAAACATTCTTAGAACATATTTTTGTTAGCAGGGTATACAGTTACCTAGCCTGGGTTTCCCCATACTGCCTTTGCGCAGCGCGATTTTATTCACGCTGCTAGGCAGTCTGGATACCATGGACCAAATTTTAGCCTCAGCGAGGGGACCAATCACAGAACGGGGAGGGAGCAGCAAGACGATGACGACGCCTATGCGACACACCGAAGCAGTTTGTTTATACCAAGGGGGTAATCCATCGACCGGAAGTTGAAGCCGGCCGGGTGCCGCCATGTTGTAGCAGAACTTCACTTGCGTTAGCATTTCCATTGACTCCCATTCATTTTGGCGTCACTTTGACAGCGAATAACTTTACATCTGAGGCGTTTAAAGACTCCATTTGTCCATTATTTATTTCTAAAGAAACACGACAATGTATAAAGACCTCCATTACCTTCTGTGTTACATTATGGCCCCGTAGAAACAGATTTAGTAAAATAGGCTAACGATTGCGTCATAACCACTCGACTCTCTGTCGCGCTGTACAGAAATTACCGTACAGACAGGAGGAGAAGCTCGCAGGCAGTCGGGGGGACGTCCCGTCAAGGGAGAAGCCCATAGATAATGAGTCCATAAAAGCAACGGAATACTTACTCCTGCTCACTCACGCCAAAGAACTCTTTGCTCAAGTTCCCCGTCTCTGCCAGATTAACGTTGGCAGTTTTCACGCACAGCTACTAGAAGAGTAACGTCTGTCAGACAGGTTGCTCACGTCATCAAGCTTAGTTTGAGTCGGTTTGAGTCTGCGCGTCAGGAACGGAAGTGCTCAAAAATCGCTAAAAATGGGCTTCAACTGAGTTCCAATGAGATGGCTCTGTCCACTTCTTATACTGTCTATGGTTTATACCTATGGATCAAACATGGCAGCAGACGCGAAGTTACCTTTCCATGCAGCCTTAGATATTGTTCTAAGTAGTTTAGAACGCAAATAAATCTCTGACCCATCGTCTTCTTCCTCGTCTAATTTCTGTCGCTCTACATACGTCATCTGGTATAATTGAAACGAATGGCTATGAGCTATGTACAGGCGCATTTGATAGACATTCGTAGCACCCAATAAACGGCTCTGGGCATTCGTAAACAACGCCTCAAATATGAAATGAACATGTGGTTCCCAGACCACGTCTCAATGTCAATGAGACGTGGTCTGACGTTAGCCAGGCTAACAGTTACCTGTATTTTTTTAAAGTTATTATTACTTATTTAAAACAACCCAGCTGCAGTGTGATTGATATTACTTGGAATGCACAATAATAATAAAAAAACATGATTTATAAAAATTAACTAGAACAGAGTTATCTGTTTTTGTAAATGGACTCTTCTGTGTAAAAATGTCCTAATTGGGAGAGGGTGTGCAATAATAAAAAGTTCATGTTATATATTTTGGTTGCATTTGTGAGTTGATAAAAATGTAACTGGTTGTGTAAACTTGGCACATAATATCTAAATATTGCTAAATCAATCGATATAGCCCTGAATCGAATCGGATAATCGCAGAATTTCTTTGAGGTATCGGCAAATATCGTATCGCTGACTGAGAGAATCGATATCACATCGTATTGTGATGAACTGTCCGATTTACACCCCTAGCACTTCCAGACATACTCTAGGTCTTTATGCTGATGGCACCCTCTGGTGGAACTCTGAGCGTTAAACAAACACTGATGAAACATACAAGAGCTGGTTTGACAAAGAGAGAGAGAGAGAGAGAGAGAGAGAGAGAGAGAGAGAGAGAGAGAGAGAGAGAGAGAGAGAGAGAGAGAGAGAGAGAGAGAGAGAGAGAGAGAGAGAGAGAGAGAGAGAGAGAGAGAGAGAGAGAGAGAGAGAGAGAGAGAGAGAGAGAGAGAGAGAGAGAGAGAGAGAGAGAGAGAGAGAGAGAGAGAGAGAGAGAGAATCAAGGTAAGCATTTCCCCCTCACCGTCTCCAGGCCTGTCACAGAATAGGCATGTCTGAACAAAATCCCAAACCCATTGCTCTTCTCAAGGGGACCCTGCACAAAGACAAAGAGACATGACAATAGATTACCTTCACAAAACAACAGCTGTCAGAGAAAATCACTTTCCTGGAACTCAAGAAAGATCCTTTTACCCAGAACACAACAAAGAAAGAAGACGCACACTGGTGGTTAAAAATCTGGGCTGCTGTTTGAAAGGTTGCAGGTTCGAACATGCAAGTTTTGATTAGTGAGCTGTAAATAATAAGCCCTTAAAGGGATAGTTCACTTTGAAATAAATTTTTGATATGTTTTAGATTACCTTAAGGGCATCCAAGATGTAGGTGTCTTTGTTTCCGCAGTAGTTTCAATTTTGATATTTTTAGGTCAAACCGTTCTTGTCTGTCAGTCATATAATGCAGGTCTATGGTCACCACCTCAAAGAGCATACACAGAGAAGTCCAAATTAAACATGATTTAATGACTCGTAAATGTAAGTACGCATTGATGGCCTAAGACACGAAACGAGCGGTTTGTGTGAGAAAACGAACAGTGTTTATATCGTTTTTATTTATATTTATAATATATTATAGTATTTATAACGCACAGACCGAAGCGCCGGCGCCCTCAGATCACTTGGACGTGACTGTGATTACAAGAGGTAAAAACGATATAAATACTGTTCGTTTTCTCACACAAACCGCTCGTTTCGTGTCTTAGGCCATCAATGTGTACTTACATTTACGAGTCATTAAATCATGTTTAATTTGGACTTCTCTGTGCATGCTCTTTGAGGTGGTGACCATAGACCTGCATTATAAGACTGACAGACAAGAACGGTTTGACCTAAACATTTCAAAATTGAAACTACTGCGGAAACAAAGACACCTACATCTTGGATGCCCTTGAGGTAAGCTAAAACATATCAAAAATGTATTTCAAAGTGAACTATCCCTTTAAGCAGGAAACCCGAGGTTACTTCTGGTGTGTGAAACTAATTAAGAAAAACTAATTTAATATGGCGAAGTCGCCTACATAAATTCCAGCAAAGATGATAAATAAAGGATCTGTTCTGTTCTTTTATTATTTAAAAAAATGTTTTGTACATAACCATTCAAAAGATTATTTTTTTAAAGAAATTTGTACTTTTTAGCAAGGATGCATTAAATGAATCAAAAGTGACTTTAAAGACATTTATACTGTTAGAGAAGATTTCTATTCCAAATAAATGCGGTTCTTATGAAATGTCTCTTTAAATAAGACATGTGAAGAGTGTAAACCTGTGAGTTAGCACAGTTGATCAGAGCTCCTTTCTGCAGCAGGGAACGCAGGAACGAGCCCAGCGCCCGAGGGAGAGACGCACACATGAAGACCTCCGTGATCCCACCTGTCATGTCCACCATCGCCTCGTGAGGGAAACCCATGTTCAGAGCGTTATAGCCACCCTTCATCCTCACAAACAGGTGAAAAGACGTTGTGAGCAACAGACAAAAGCAGTTTATGTACATGCAGAATGTGCAAAGTACTTGGACACCAAAAATACTGTTCAAAAGTTTGGATATTTATAATGTTACAAATAAATGCTGTTCTATTCATCAAAGAATCCTGAAAATGTATCATGGTTTCTACAAAAATATAACTGTTTTAAACATTGATAATTATAAGAAATGTTTCTTGAGCAGCAAATCAGCATATTCAAATGATTTCTGAAGGATCATGTGACACTGAAGACTGGAGTAATAGATCTTAGTCAGAGTAGTGCCATATTTAATTTTTGACAAATGAAAACTAGGCTGTGAGGGATAGATACAGTTAGGTAAGTTGTACTGTATCTTTCAACACAGCGTCTGATGTTCATTTATGTTTATTTGGTGCTATAACTAGTAGTAAAGAAGAAGAGATGAGCGGTTTACATGCCGCTGGAACTGAAGCGGCTACAGCGATCTGTCACGACACCTTAAAGAGAGTCAAAACTGTATTTATTGTTTGATTTCTGAGGCAAAATTGACAATTAGAAAGCTGAGTATTTGTTTCATATGAAAAGTAACAAAGCAGAAAGCTTATTGTGATGATTAGATGGGAGGCAAAAAAAAAAAGAAACAAGGTGCGCTAACAAAAAAAGTTTCAACTGAAAACAGCATCGACTAAAAGATTTATCTTGGGATTTAAGAATCAACCATTTCAGCCGAAATAATTATTTTATTTTATCTATTTATTTTCCTGTTTCTGCCGAATATTTCAGGATGCTGAAATTTTATTTACATTTACAATTAACTCTTTCCCCGCCATTGATGGACATTTCCACCATTTATGAGACTATTAACTCTTTCTCTGCCATTGATGGAAATTTAAGACATTTATGAGAGGATTAACTCTTTTCCCGCCATTGATGGAAATTCCCGCCATTTATGAGACTATTAACTCTTTCCCTGCCATTGATGGAAATTTAAGACATTTATGAGACTATTAACTCTTTTCCCGCCATTGATGGAAATTCCCGCCATTTATGAGACTATTAACTCTTTTCCCGACATTTATGGAAATATCCGCTATTTATGAGACTATTAACTTTTTCGCCGCCATTGATGGAAATTCCCGCCATTTATGAGACGATTAACTCTTTCCCTGCCATTGATGGAAATTTAAGACATTTATGAGACTATTAACTCTTTCCCGCCATTGATGGAAATTCCCGCCATTTATGAGACTATTAACTCTTTCCCTGCCATTTATGAGACTATTAACTCTTTCCCTGCCATTGATGGAAATTTAAGACAATTATGAGACTATTAACTCCTTTCCCGCCATTGATGGAAATTTAAGACATTTATGAGACGATTAACTCTTTTCCCGCCATTGATGGAAATTTAAGACATTTATGAGACGATTAACTCTTTCTCCGCCATTGATGGAAATTTAAGACATTTATGAGACTATTAACTCTTTTCCCGCCATTGATGGAAATTTAAGACATTTATGAGACGATTAACTCTTTTCCCGCCATTGATGGAAATTTAAGACATTTATGAGACGGTTAACTCTTTTCCCGCCATTGATGGAAATTTAAGACATTTATGAGACGATTAACTCTTTTCCCGCCATTGATGGAAATTTAAGACATTTATGAGACTATTAACTCTTTCCCCGCCATTGATGGAAATTTCCGCCATTTATGAGACTATTAACTCTTTCCCTGCCATTGATGGAAATTCCCGCCATTTATGAGACTATTAACTCTTTCCCCTTCATTGATGGAAATTTAAGACATTTATGAGACTATTAACTCTTTCCCCGCCATTGATGGAAATTCCCGCCATTTATGAGACTATTAACTCTTTCCCCGCCATTGATGGAAATTCCCGCCATTTATGAGACTATTAACTCTTTTCCCGCCATTGAAGGAAATTCCCGACATTTATGAGACTATTAACTCTTTTCCCGCCATTGAAGGAAATTCCCGACATTTATGAGACTATTAACTCTTTCCCTGCCATTGATGGAAATTCCCGCCATTTATGAGACTATTAACTCTTTTCCCGCCATTGAAGGAAATTCCCGCCATTTATGAGACTATTAACTCTTTTCCCGCCATTGATGGAAATTTAAGACATTTATGAGACTATTAACTCTTTCCCGCCATTGATGGAAATTCCCGCCATTAATGAGACTATTAACTCTTTCCCTGCCATTTATGAGACTATTAACTCTTTCCCTGCCATTGATGGAAATTTAAGACAATTATGAGACTATTAACTCCTTTCCCGCCATTGATGGAAATTTAAGACATTTATGAGACGATTAACTCTTTTCCCGCCATTGATGGAAATTTAAGACATTTATGAGACGATTAACTCTTTCCCCGCCATTGATGGAAATTTAAGACATTTATGAGACTATTAACTCTTTTCCCGCCATTGATGGAAATTTAAGACATTTATGAGACGATTAACTCTTTTCCCGCCATTGATGGAAATTTAAGACATTTATGAGACGGTTAACTCTTTTCCCGCCATTGATGGAAATTTAAGACATTTATGAGACGATTAACTCTTTTCCCGCCATTGATGGAAATTTAAGACATTTATGAGACTATAAACTCTTTCCCCGCCATTGATGGAAATTTCCGCCATTTATGAGACTATTAACTCTTTCCCTGCCATTGATGGAAATTCCCGCCATTTATGAGACTATTAACTCTTTCCCCTTCATTGATGGAAATTTAAGACATTTATGAGACTATTAACTCTTTCCCCGCCATTGATGGAAATTCCCGCCATTTATGAGACTATTAACTCTTTCCCCGCCATTGATGGAAATTCCCGCCATTAATGAGACTATTAACTCTTTTCCCGCCATTGAAGGAAATTCCCGACATTTATGAGACTATTAACTCTTTTCCCGCCATTGAAGGAAATTCCCGACATTTATGAGACTATTAACTCTTTCCCTGCCATTGATGGAAATTCCCGCCATTTATGAGACTATTAACTCTTTTCCCGCCATTGAAGGAAATTCCCGCCATTTATGAGACTATTAACTCTTTTCCCGCCATTGATGGAAATTCCCGCCATTTATGAGACTATTAACTCTTTCCCTGCCATTGATGGAAATTCCCGCCATTTATGAGACTATTAACTCTTTTCCCGCCATTGAAGGAAATTCCCGACATTTATGAGACTATTAACTCTTTTCCCGCCATTGATGGAAATTTAAGACATTTATGAGACGATTAACTATTTCCCCACCATTGATGGAAATGTAAGACATTTATGAGACTATTAACTCTTTCCCTGCCATTGATGGAAATTTAAGACATTTATGAGACTATTAACTCTTTTCCCGCCATTGATGGAAATTTAAGACATTTATGAGACTATTAACTCTTTTCCCGCCATTGATGGAAATTTAAGACATTTATGAGACTATTAACTCTTTCCCTGCCATTGATGGAAATTTAAGACATTTATGAGACTATTAACTTTTCCCGCCATTGATGGAAATTTCCGCCATTTATGAGACTATTAACTTTTCCCGCCATAGATGGAAATTTCCGCTATTTATGAAACTATTAACTCTTTTCCCGCCATTGATGGTATTTTCAGGCTTTCTGTGTTTTCACTGTAATACAGTAGGGGGCGCTATGACACATCTTCTGAAAGAGTGCTGAATCTCCTGATCAAAACACAGGTGAAGAAGATGCAGAAATGAGCGATATCATATGTAATCATATCCATATGTAAAATAACGCAATCATCAACATTAAACAGCATTTAAATCACATCTGCCTAATGTGAATGAAATGTCGACCCAGAACTGGACTGTGAAGCTTTAGGGGTGTTGATGGACTCGATCTACTCCATCTGTGTTTTGACCATCGTTCTAAATCTGATCTGAATGTAGTCTTTGACAAAAACTTGATTTTCTCAGCTTTTTGTTACCTTTTTTATGAAACTTATCCACATTCAAGTGTTAATAAAAAAAGAATGCATAAAGCTAGAATAAATGTTGTTGTTGGTTTTTTTTTTAAAGTAGAGGGTCTGTTCTCTCCTTTGATAAATTGCATGTTCAGATATTCATACAACTAAATATCCAGGGGCCATGAAACTTTTGTGAAAATGATCAAAAATGCTGGCGGTGGCTGGCAAGGTTTTACGGCGTAACAAAGCCTCGTTTACAAAAATCACATGACTTTGGCATTTTGATACACGCTCCGAATCACTGGTTCACGAAGCAGTGTTTCGAAAGTGCCCACTGTATTTTGATCAAATAAATGCAGCCTTAATGATCATTAAAAAATAATATTTCAAAAACATTTAAAAAAATCTCACCGCCCCAAACTTTTGAGCAGTAGTTGCCTATAATAACAATCAGTGGCATCATTTGTTTGCAGACATCGCTTTAATATTCTCTAATGCAATTATATTAAAGTCCCCCTGTGGTGAAAATCCAACTTTTAATGTTGTTTATATATATCTATGTGATGTTTTTAATATGCTTTAAGACAAACCATGTGTAAATTCATAAGTTTTCCATAAAAAAGAGTCTCAAAAACACGTTTTGAAATCGCTGGTGTTTCTGACGTCACAAACTACCTTGTAACCAATCAGATCAACGTGTGATTGTCAACGAGTGGATCTCTGAGCTGGAGTGAGTGAGTGGAGGCGGGGCTCATTTGCATATTCATAGAGCCGCGTATAATAAACAAAGCAAGGGTGTACTGTAGAGTTACATTCAAGCTATTTTAAGGCATGAAGAAATTATTTTTTTAAGGGAAAAAAAGTTTAAATATGTCATTTTGGTGATCAAAAATTAGTTAAGGGTTAAAATTATTGACTACAGAGGGACTTTAAGGCACTTTTATGTGTTACTCACGGCCGCATTAACAATAGGGCTAGGCGGGGCTAAAGCCCCGGGGCCCGAGCAAGGAGGGGGCCCGTGATTGGCTGTGGTGCAGATTGACTACTACTAGCAATCTGATTTCCAAAGCCTTACCACGCCCCCCACAAATTGGTCCTGTTATTTAGTGGGGCTTTGCCGTATATTCCATGCATTATCATGGAATCATTATCATTAATATTATAGTGACCGTTCGCAAAGACCCGCCTTTTTTAGTTACTGTGTGACAAGCCAGGCGGCTCTCAAGAGTCAAGCACATCATGTTCTCACGCAGTGAAAAATACATCGCGGGGCAAAGACTAACTTTACACTGAGTGACTACATACAAGAGAGGGCTCAGACTGTTGATATGAAACAAAGTCTCAACTTTCAAATATTGTCATTTAAGTAATTTAAACAATACCGTTTTTCACGTTCAAGTCCACCGACGTTAATCCACTGACAGCTTTGTTGTCGGACAAAATTGCGTATTCGGCGTTATGATTGGCCAGTTCGCCTGTCAATCAAACCCCCGTGGGCAGCAGGGCATGGTAAATTGAAACGTCACGTTTTAATTTGATCTACCAATCAAATATATTTATTCTATATTTAACGCGTGAACAATCGACCTGCTGCTGTACGTAGGCCTATCAGATGATGGCTGCCTGAGCCTGATTAAAATATAGCCTACGCATCAACCTATCAATCGCCTCCACTCTTCACTTCATTCTAGAATCTAGACTATTCTTAAGACATCATCGACCCCACCAATTTTCGGTAAGTTTGATTATTAACTTGATGGATATTGCTTTTTGTGTTTGATCAAACTCTATATTCGGCTAAAGGGCTGGCGTGGCGATAATATATCCGGTAGAAATATGTTAATTTTGCTGCGCCATCATGATGTAAGTTAATAATTTAAACGCGTTTTTAATTGTGGTTTAGATACAAACTATTTTAAACTGATCAGGCACAGTAAGCAGCGGGAGAGAATTCATTTAGTAAATGCTCGTTTTGAGACCATGGTGAACTTGAGACGGTTTTGCACAGCCGCAGCGCACTTGAGTTCCGACCCTGAGGTCTTAAAGTGACAGTAGCTGCTAATAAAGCTGCTGTCGCCATTTGTGTCAATAATGTTAATCAAACATAAGAAAGAAAGTAATTTACTGCTCTTGACTGAATCACTTTTGTAAAATAAATAAAAATGAGTGTTGAATTTATAGTGAAAACTATGTATTGTATATTTGATTACTTTTTACAATATAATATTCAGTGCTTTAAGTTTTTCAAGTAGGTCGATTTCTTATGTGCCTTTGTTCTATTGTTATCTGGGACTCTTGTCATCAGTAAGCTTGAGATTCTTTTCTTAAACTACTATTATTTATTGTGATATTGAAATTGGTCTCAAGAATTATGAAATTTTAGTGGCATTAAATTTTAAATAATAAAAATCATATTAAAATTAATATAACTTGACTGTGAAGTAGGCTATATCATAGATAGATAAAATGACTCGTATAATGATATAACATTTAGCTCATGTAGTTGGTGACCTAAAGTGGTGGTGGGGGGGCCCTGCAGTAACTCATAGCCCCGGGGCCCAGTGAGCTCTTAACGCGGCCCTGCTGTTACTGACTTGGCATAAGCCTTCTCCAGCAGAGCGCTCCAGAATTCCTCTCTGCTTGATGAATGTAGATAGATCAGCTGACCGTCACGTGTGGGCAAGCGGTCATCGACTCGCACCCGATTCCACTCACCATACTGCCAAAACTAGACAAACAGAGAGACGCCATTAGAGCCATCATAACCGCTTCATTCAGCGCAGTAGCACACGCCACTCACCTGAAAATAGAAGCAGCCGTTGTAGCCCTTCTGAAAACCCTGGCCTGAGGGAACGACACGATCCAGAAGGGAAGGGTAGAGAGAGAGAGACGCCACGGCAGACAAGAACCAACAATCACCTGAGAGAGAGAGTTAAAGCATATTAAACCACGTTAAAACAAGTTTTACCTCTAATTTGCTTATAAATGATTATTTGAATAGTAGCTATGTGGTAAAAAAAAAAGAAAAAAAGTACACTTTACTACACTAGTTCCCAACTGTTTTAGCTTTAGGACATGTGGACGTGCCGTGACAGCACCGAAATTGTTAATCATGCTAAAGTGAACAGAAATAATCATAAAAATCAAACATTTAAATTGATTATTAACAAAAATAACAACCATAATACAATAACACTATCAGCAGCCAATAAATCCCACTTTTTTTTCTTCTTTAGATTTTAACCATATCAAACTGATCAAAACTTTGTACACAATGTGATTTTTAGAAGTAAAAGCCCTTTGAGTATAATTGTAAAAATGTCCACCTTCAGCTTATGATGGTGGTTCAGGTTGTTTTTGCTGTGAAATCTTCACTGATTTTTATTTTTATTTAGTAAACGTATGACCTTTTATATTGTTAGTAATATTTCAAGATGGACACTAACTGGACTGAAGCAACTTTTGAAAACTATAAGCTTTTAAATATATTCTTACTAAGACATATTGTAGGCAGATATAGAGTGACGACTGAAATATATGTATTTTATGTCAGTAGTAGTTATACTGTTATGAAGATCTGATTGATTTACATTACAAACATCAGAATTTCATCTTACTTTCTGTCCATATAAATATCAGGATCTGCACCAAACTGCATATTTTGCTCAGTTTGGGCCTCTGATTCCAAGAACACAGGATGAGATTTTACTATCCTTTGTGCAAGCACTTCCAAGAGTTCATGAACAGTGAGCCTGATAAAATTTGGGGAGCGCATCGTGAAATTTGGGGAGCGCATCGTCAGTAGTGTACCTTTGGTTCCTAGGGTGTTTCGGCCTTTCACACTATACACCCTCCCCACAGGCGGCCAGCGACAGGGTGATCAATCCTACGCTTGCGTCCCATTCCCAATTAGTCATAGGAGTTGCCTTGTTGTTGATAGCCAACATCCCGTGGGACTATGCATAGCAGGGGCGTCCTCCTCCCTGAGTCAAGCATTGTTGACCGCATACCTCCTGGCCCTCTCACTTCGGGGCCCAGCTGGGGTCTTTCCTCTACATCCAGAGCCACTGACTGCTACCTTCTGCCGCCTCCGATACAGCTCTGATTGCAGAACGCTGGCTCTCCCAGGTCTTTAAGCAGTCTGGTCGTAGATGTTGCCACAAAACCTCTGCAGCCCACCTCCACTGGTCGGACTTCTGTGTTCCAACCATGATGCCGTGCTTCGGTAGCTAGATCGCCATAGCGCAGATGTTTTCGCTCATAAGCCTCACCTACTGAGTCCTCCCAGGGTACTGTGAGCTTAATAATGAAGACCTTCTTGAGTGAACTGGACCAGAGGACCATGTCAGGTCTTAGGGTGGTGGTTACGATCTCGGGAGGAAACACAAGTTGCCGACCAATGTCAGCTAGCATTTTCCAGTCGCGGGCCAAGCGCAGCTGGTCTCGCTCTGATGGTGTAGAGCTGCTCTTCGGTGGTTTTGCCCCTTCACGGACAAAAGTCGTCCGTAAGGGGTGTGATGCTGTTGGGGGTGGTAGGGAGTTGGTGGCAGCTCGCTTGTCCTCCAGGGCGGACGCAAGGTTTTTTAGGACTTGGTTGTGACGCCAAGTATAGCGTCCTTGGGTGAGGCTTGTTTTACACCCTGTGAGAATATGCCTGAGGTTGGCTGGCATGGAACAGAGGGCACAGTCCGGATCTTCACCATACCATTGGTGAAGATTAACTGGTGTTGGAAGGACGTCATACGTTGCTCTGATGGAAAAGCTCAACCGCCTCGCTTCCATGGCCCACAGATCCTTCCAGCTAATCTTCCTCTTCTCCACACTGTCCCATCTAGTCCACTGTCCCTGTTTGGCAAGAGAGACTGCCTTGGCCCACCTTGCAGCCTCCTCCTGATGGCGTACCTCCTGCACTACCATCTGCCGCCGCTCTGTTGCAGTAGCCTTACTCCAAACAGCATGGCTAGTTAACCCAAGGCCTCCTCTCCCTTGCTGAACATGACCCACAATATCAGCATGTCTGAGGGCTGCAGTTGCCTTCTGGACTGCTTTTCCTGGCCTCCATTTACGCCCGGTTGCCAAGGTCGGTGCGTTGTTACTCACCACTGGGTCTCGAGATTCATTCAGTGTCATCTGGAGCCTGGTTTTTGCACACTTGAATTCCTCTGTTAGACTGGTGAGGGGCAGCTTGAGGACACCATCTCCATAGAGGCCTATGGAGGTAAGGCATCGTGGAACTCCGAGCCACTTTTTTAAGTAGCCTGTGACTCCTCTTTCCATCTTCTCAACTATTGTGATTGGGACCTCATACACTACTAGGGGCCACAACACCCGGGGTAGGAGACCAAACTGCAGACACCAGGCCTTTAACCTTCCAGGTAGCTGGGTGTTGTCGATGGACTGTAGGCTACTACTGATGTCTTTGCACAGCTGTTGCACCTGGTCTTTGTCCTTCAGGTTTGCATCATACCACCTTCCAAGGCTTTTTACTGGCTGCTCAGACACTGTTGGGATTTGGTCATCTCCGATGAAGAATTTCAGGTCAGACAGTACTCCCTTCACAATCGAGATGCTGCGTGATTTAGATGGTTTAATCTTCATACAGGCCCAGCTGATGTTCTCCTCGAGTTTTCTGAGCAGTCTCCTGGTGCATGGAACAGTGGTGGTCAATGTTGTAATGTCATCCATGTAGGCTCTAAGTGGAGGGAGACGGAAGCCAGAGTCGACACGCTGTCCACCAGCAACCCATTTTGAGGATCTGATGATAACCTCCATTGCTATTATAAATGCTAACGGAGAAATTGTACATCCCGCCATTATACCTACATTCAGGCATTGCCATGAGGTGGTGAACCCTGAGGTGGTGAAACAGAACTGCAGATCCTGGAAGTACGCCTTCACTAGGGTTGTGATTGTGACCGGTATGTGGAAAAATCTGAAGGCAGACCACAGGAGTTCATGGGGCACAGAACCAAATGCATTGGCGAGGTCGAGGAAAACTACATGGAGGTCCCTTTTCTCCACTTTGGCCATTTGGATCTGGTGCCAGATCATGCTGGAATGTTCCAAGCAGCCAGAGAACCCTGATATTCCTGCCTTCTGTACAGATGTATCGACGTACGCATTCCTTTGCAGGAACACGGCCATCCTCTGGGCAATGACCCTAAAGAAGATTTTACCCTCGGCATTCAGTAAGGAAATTGGGCGGAATTGGCTGATGTTCACTGCATTCTTCTCCTTAGGGATCAGGACCCCGCCTGCCCTACGCCACACTTTGGGTATTATCTTCTTCTGTCATGCCGTTCTCATAAGCCTCCAGAGGAACCTCAGGACATCTGGTGCGTTCTTATACACTTTGTACGGGACTCCATTTGGCCCCGGGGCTGATGCTGATCTTGCCCGTCGAACTATGTTTTCCACCTCTTTCCATGTCGGAGGGCTGGTCTCAATATGATGTTCCGGGGGTTCAATGGGTGGGATATCTGATGGGATAGCCAGATGTTCATGTCGCTTTGAGTCAAAGTTTGTTATTCTCAGGTGCTCCTCTAGGTCTTTCTTTGTTGTTTTTAGAGCTCCACTTTTTTTCCTTCGTGAAGAGACTTTTAAGGAACTTGAAGGGATCTTTATAGAATCGAGTTCTAGTTTGCTCTTTCTTCCTTCTGCGTTTCCGTAGGTTCTCTGCTCTACGGAGGGATGCCAACCGGGTTTTAATGTCAGCCTGAAGTGCCTCTATGCCCGCCTTTTCCACCTCCGAGCCCTTCTTCCACTGTTTCTTAAGCTGTCTCCTTTCTTGAACGAGGCGCTTAAGTTCTTGTTGCCTCCTGGGAACTGGTGGGGTTGGAACCTTTCTCCCGCCTTTTGCCTCTTGCACTCCAAAACGTTCTACCCCGTACTCATAAATGATGTCCCCCATCCCTTCCAACTTCTTCTCCACTGTGCCTCGAAGTTTTCCGAGGATCAAGGTAAGGTCAGTATTCACTGTATCCCACAACTTCTTGTCACTGGCGCCAGGCCACTTCACATACGATCTGTGCCCTGGCAGTCTCCTCTCGACTGCAGGTCTGGGAGGCTGGGTGAGATCCACACCTGTTGTTGGTTCCACCTCAGTTGTTACTTCGGTGCTTGAGTTTACATCCTCCATGACAGTGGTACTGATGCACTGCAAGCTATGGTTTGCGTCCAGTTGCTGTGCTTCATTCGACTGATTTGATCGCTTTTGCAGAAAGTGATCAATGCGAGGCCTCTGTCTCTCTATACCCAAACACCCCTTCTTCCCCTGGTGGATCCTCAACCCATGATGTGATGTAACTTTCCTCCAACCACAGACACATACCTGCATCTGTTTGTGGCCCGCCGTTACAGCGGAACTTGTGACAGTTGCTGTGGTGTTCTCTTGTGCTGTGCTCTTATTACTCGTAGTCGTTTCCAGTCCTGTCGTTATCATGTTGTCAGTCAATGAGTCATCTTCCGCCCCCGCTCTCGCAGACTCTAGGGGTATTCTCGTATTTTGCCTTTCTGTAGCTAAAGCGGGTGTTTCCAACATACTGCGAAGCATGGGAAACTACAGAAATGGGAAGCTAACCCGTGACTGTCCCAGTGGGGTCTATTCCCTCCTGTCAGCCGTCTCTCCGTGCTGCCACAAGGACTTTCCCCTGTTGTCAGCTGATCTTTCTCAGTAGTCACTGGACAAGTCCAGATATTCAGATTCCAAGAACACAGGATGAGATTTTACTATCCTTTGTGCAAGCACTTCCAAGAGTTCATGAACAGTGAGCCTGATAAAATTTGGGGAGCGCATCGTGAAATTTGGGGAGCGCATCGTCAGTAGTGTACCTTTTATAAATAAAATAAAATTGGTTTTGAATAAAAAAATTTTTTTCCTCCCTCAGTTTGATCTCCATATTCTCACTATATCATATGTGCCATAAAAGCCTGATGGATCAAATATGAGACACTCACCAAAAACACACGCATTTTTTAAATATATTTTATTTTATCAAAAGTTTCAATAAACTGTTTCATTTCAAACTTTTTCTTTTTTTACGATTATTTCATATGTCCGACTTTAGAGTGGTATTTTCTTTTATCCTCTGTAATTTTATTCATGTTTTTGAGGATGAGGGTGTCATGCAACATGCCCATGTTGGCATTTGTCTAATTTGACGAGCTTCTACCAAGTCACCGAACGATTCGCACCAACTGAAGAGTTTGATTGGATGCATGACTTTTGACCTTAAAGGGATATTTCACCCAAAAAGGAAATTTTGTCAATCATTTACTCACTTCTTGTTCCAAACCTGTGCAAATTTCTTTGTTCTGTTGAGCACAAAAGATGATATTTTAAAGAATGTTGTTAACCAGACAGTTGAGTTGATGGACTCCATTGACTTCCATAGTATGAATTCCGTCAACCGTGTTACCAACATTCTCTAAAATATCTTATTTTTTGTTCAACAGAACAAAGAAACGACAAGTCTCAAAAACACGGTTTGAAATCGCTGGTGTTTCTGGCGTCCCAAACTACCTTGTAACCAATCAGATCAACGTGTGATCGTCAGCGAGTGGAACTCTGAGCTGGAGTGAGTGAGTGGAGGCGGGGCTCATTTGCATATTCATAGAACCGCGTATACTAAATGAGGCAAGGGTGTAGAGTTACATTCAAGCTATTTTAAGGCATAAAGTAATTTTTTCCCAAGGAAAAAACATTTAAATATGTCATTTTGGTGATCAAAGGTGAGTTTTTAGGGATAAAATGATTGACTACAGGGGGACTTTAGCAACAAAAGATTTGGAAGTGTTGCACTGTATTATTTAGCTTTCTGTGATCCTCAGAAAAGACCTGCGACCCACCAGGTGATAAGATCACAGCTATTTGCTAAACACTAAAGCTTTTTGGTGCCACAACATGTTGCTTACACGAGAGCCTGCAAAAACCTGCAGCACATGTGTTATTCTCAATGCAAATTCTTATCGTTTAAATGGTTGAGGATTAAGATCTCACTCAGAACTCCCTGGCAGACGTCCATGCGTGTGGCTCCATCCACTATAAACTGGGGAAACGGACACATCTCCTGGAAAAGAGAGGAGAAAACACAAAGGATCATTTTAGGATCAAAGGATATTTAGGAAAAAGAATGACTGCACAGAGTTTATAAATATATTTTGGAATGACATGAGTTAATCAATCAACAAACGCCAGGTGATAGGTGCGTAGAAAAAGAAGACCAAATAGGTAGGTCGACAAATCTGCAATTAAGGAACTCCCGCACACTATCAGTACTTGCAAGTAATATAAAAATGTTTTATTAGCAACGTTTCGGTCTCACGACCTTAATCATGCCTGACAGAATTATGTAATTTTAAAACAATATATAAACTGTGCAGCTGTGAACAATTACAAAACATGAGAACCAATGAGCACTAAAGTTAAAATCAACTTAAATATGAGTTTGTTCCTCACATAAAGCTATGTATCATATGACTTCAGAACACTTCGAATATAATGCATGAGTCAAACTGATTACTTTTATGATATTTTATGGTGCGGTGGGGTGTGTGTGTGTGGGGGGGGGGGGAGTACTTTCATTAATGGGTGATGTTTGGAATGACTTAAACAAAACAGTTCCAAGTTTTACAATTTATGTCATTTTTAAATATTTTTTAGAATTTATTTTCTTAACACTTACAATAAGTTTCCATCTGTTTGCATTACTGAATATGAACTGACAATGAAAATACTTCTAAATAATTTATTATTAATGTTATGTTAATTTCAACATACATATACATTATCAAAATCAAAAGTTGTATCTGTTAGTATTATTTAATGAACCTGAGCGAACATTAAAGGAGCTGTATGTAAGAAATTTATTTCAATTAATCATAAAATGGCCCTGAAATGTCACTACACATTAAAAAATCATGTACATTTCAAATACTTATATCACTGACAACAGTAGTCTGGCCAGGATATTGTCATTTAAAAAGTGAAGTTGCAGCCCTCAACTGATGTTGATGTTGTCATGTTGTGTTTTGGTCTGATGCTCCTCCCTCCATCTATCTACCAATCACGAAGTCAGTAGTGTTGCGGCATCCGGGTTGCCAGCTCTGCTCTAGTTACCACTTCTGCAGCTCGTCACGTTCCTGCTGGATCCTGCAGCCGATCTGGCAACCTCGAGTCAGGGAGGAGGGGGAGGGGATACACCACTCTACAGTAATTTGAAAGTGATTGCAGTACTAGTTTTGGCCACAATCTTACATACAGCTCCTTTAACTAACAATGAACTGTATTTTTATTAACGAACGTCAACAAATGTGTTGTATTGTAACTTAATGTTAGTATATGCATTAACTAATGGGACTTCATTGTGAAGTGTAAAGGACCCAGAAGCCACTGATCTGAAGAACCTACACAAGAGAAAGGATCTTTATGGGAAGAAAGTTATTTGCTGAACTGAAGGAAAACTGAAGAGCAGCAATAGAAATATTACAGTTGAGGAACATCATTTTTAAACATTCAATTTCTAAACTGTATCTTCCTTTGGGCAGATTGTGTGTGTGCGTGTGCGTGTGCGTGTGCGTGTGCGTGTGTGTGTGTGTGTGTGTGTGTGTGTGTGTGTGTGTGTGTGTGTGTGGCAGCTGCTCACCAGACACAAGCCTGGACAGATCTTCACTCAAACACACTCAAGTCCCTGATATTTCAATGAAACACCCCCTTACTTTCACACAACTTGCTTTTATATGCAGCAGTTTGACGTAAAAACATTAAAGATAGAATAAACCTCTTTATTTCCCCACATGGGCACAAAAAGGAATCACACAGCTTCACCACTTATTTGAGAACCACTATTTTATGTCATTTAACACACTCATACAGAAATATGGGGTTGGGAGGGAACAATTTCTTAAATATCAACAACTTAGACTCCTAATTAAAAATAAAACCACACTTACAAACAATACATTACAACCTTCTCAGCTCATAGAAGAACTTTTGAAAATTAATAACTTAAAAAAATTAACCTCCCAACTATATACAATGATTTCGAACCAAAACACAACAATAACACTCCCAACAACCAAATGGGAAACCGACCTGGCCATCTCTCCCAACCCTGAGTACTGGGAACAAATTTGTAGGAACACTTTTCTTATGACCAATAACACAAACCTGCAACTTATACAATATAAAGTCATTCACAGAACTCATATTACCCAAAGTAAAATGTTCAAAATGGGCCTACACAACACTCATATCTGTTCACAATGTACTTTAGGTAGTACAGATGACTATTTGCACGCCATGTGGCATTGCAAACCAGTCTATTCTTTTTGGATTACAGTTACTGAGACGCTCACCACCATTATGAGCCACAGAATCCCATTATCCCCAATACTTTGTCTCATAGGCGACCTTTCCGAAATCCATATCTCACAAAAATATAGGAATCCGTTGCTCATCTCTTTAGCTGTCGCCAAGAAAGTAGTTCTCCAAAACTGGAAATCAAAGAAATCCTGCCCAGAGGCGGACAGAGTACACAGCTTTGTTACTTGAGTAAAAGTACAGATACCCCTTGCTAAATTTTACTCAAGTACAAGTAAAAGTACTACATTCAGATGTCTACTTAAGTAAAAGTACTAAAGTACTTGTTTTTAAAAGTACTTGAGTATCAAGAGTACAAGAGTAGATTTTCTAAATATTGCATTACTAATCTACTGCCACAGTGCTTACATTTATGCACAGAAACGTCCTACATGGAGTTATGAAAAATGTTAATGTTAATACCTTGGAGAATGTAAAAGGAATTGAAAGTAAAATCAAGTCATTTTCATCTTTTTACCATGTTGCTTTATTTAATTAAATTAAATTTTTGGGGGGTCCCATCTTTAAATGCGGGGACAACACACACACACACACACACACCACATGTAAGGGTGGCGCTGCCAATAAAGCACCTAAAAGCTGTCACAAAGAACCGGCAAAAGGAATGATTATGAATATGTAAAATATAGCAAGGAGATATTTTAATTGTTTATTAATAAACACTTGTTAATAAACAAGTGTTTTCTTTGTCAGTGTCGGCTAGATAAAGTTGACGATGCTGACTCGCGATCTTCAGTAGTGAACGCGCCAGAGAGAAATGCACATTTCATACGGATTACATAAGCAGAGAGCAGTCTGTAGTCTGTTTTCTTTCGTTTTGAATTTTTCTGTTTAAAAGTAGACATGTCTGTGAGAGGCAAGTAGGCTACCTTATACACTGTGTTTCGGTTCATTTATGAGACGAGATCCAGTTCACGTGCCGGCGCCTCCGTTTCTTATCTATCGTCTGCTATTTACTTCTTATTTATTAAACCCAGGCAATTGGTTGATGAAACATTGATTCAAATTAAGATACAATTAATGCAAAACGAAGTTCAGGTTAAAGAAAGGTTTTGTGTTTTCTGTTTGATGTCTCTGTGAAAGTTTTAAAGCATTTTTTATGCCGCTTTCAGAGCGCTCACGTCCGTAACGGAGAACACGTCCATAACATTGTTTTTTCCTCATAAATGCAAACCCGAAAAATAAAATAAAACAAAATGAATATTTTATGTACTGTGGAGACTGAGTGCCAACCCTTCTTCATTCGCTGGGTATTAGCCTACTTTGGTTTGCGCAGTGTAATTCACATAATCAGTAAAAATATATTTTGCCTCCTAAAGTTTTTTTTTAAAGAAATCCGAAATCCCTCGTGGCTACTAGGGCTGCAACGATTAGTCGACGTTGTCGACAACGTCGACAATAAAAATTTGTCGACAAATATCTTTGTTGTCGAGTAGTCGTTTGATCTCACGTGACCTAATGTAAGGGCCTGCAATCCCGCGATTTGACCGCTACGGCGCTGTAGCGCTAGAGTGTAGTGCAGCCCTTACAAATGCTATTGCGGTAGAAGAAAATACAGCGCGAATTATGACAGTGCAAACGAATCCGAACTAGCAAGGTTTAGGTTTGGGAAAGTTTCACAAAACTTCAAATCAAGAATGCTGTCGTGTGCAATTTTCATGGGAGCACAACATGCATGTTGGAGTGCAAGAGGAAACATCCCGGCAAAAGAGGAGCCGGTGAGAAGTGAGTGTTCTCCGGCTGGAGCTTAACGTTACTAACCAGCGGTAAATCTCTCTTTATTAGAGAATGCAATACTACTAATAATAGTAATAATATTATCAATAGTAATATAATTACAGTAATGTGATGACTTATTTTGTATAGAATAAAGCTTGATCCAGCTTAGGAGTCAGGGCTGTTTTTATTATTGTAACACTATTAGTATATTAGGTATTATTATAGTCTTATCACTTGCCTGTATTTTGTTCAATAATCATGAAGACTTACAAAACGAGATGTTATAGGCCTATCCTTCCTATGATATAGGAAGAATATCATGGCAGTTACTTTTTCATACTATAAATTAAAAGGTGAATGAGAACGTCTCTGTCAGCTCAATTGTCATGTAAAAAAAGATTGTAATTTTATAATTATAATAATTGTTTGCAGATTAATATTTTACCATTCTTTGTGTCCTGAAGTAAATGTCCCTTTTTCTGTTTCAGTTCTAAGAAAAGCAGTGGGCCTATTAAACAATGCTTAGAGAGCATTTGTGTGTGATTTGAGTTGGACCGAAATCTGAAAACTTAAAGAGAATGACCTGTTTAGTTGGCTCAAAGTTCATTAAAACAACTATTTCAAAAGCTGAAGTGATTTTCTTTTTTTATATTATAGTTAGAATATGTATAACTCAATGTTTTAAATAATTGGAAAAGCTGAATAATCGTTCCAAACTTACTGATTAGTCTGCGAAAATAATCGATGATTAGTCGATTAATCGTTCCAATAATCGTTAGATTAATCGATTATCAAAATAATCGTTTGTTGCAGCCCTAGTGGCTACGCCACTGCCACATTTGGACCTGACTGTGTTAAACACACCACATACTCAAGAACATCAAACCAAATGCTTGGCTTACATTAATGTGTAATATAAAATCTGACCATAGAGTTGACTTTGGCGGAAAGCTGAAAGTGATTGCTGATAGGCTGTCCCAATCAGTGGCGCCTGCACAATCCAATCACGTTTGAGAGGGAAACAACAAATTGAGGGTGTCCGAGATTTTTCTTGTTCTTTTTTTTTTTTACTCGGGTACTCACGGTTATGGATAGAAATGTATTGGAGTAAAGAGTACAATATTTGCCTCTCAAATGTACTTGAGTAAAGTCATGAGTACTCCCCAAAAATGATACTCGAGTAAAGTACAGATCCCTCAAAATTGTACTCAAGTACTGTACTCAAGTAAATGTACTCCGTTACTGTCCGGCTCTGATCCTGCCACATCAATCACTGGATAAATTTAATATCAGAATATATTTCAATTGAGAAATACAATGCGTACAGAATAAAGCAAATATCAGCCTATGAAGATATATGGTCCCCTTTTCTTACATTTTTGACATCTTGACATCTCTCAATATCGCACAAACATAACTATAAGCCGTGTATATAACCAGACACATACCTCACCCCTTCTGTTACTGCAGCTATCACTTCATACATACATATATGCATCTACACTCATGCATAACATGTTTTCAAACCCCCTTTCCCTCAAACACCTTAACCATGATCAACTAATATAGCCTACATTTCAGATCAACAGAAAGGGGGGGAGGCGGAGAGGGGAGGGAGAGGAGAGGAGAAGGGGAGGGAGGGGAGGGAGAGGAGGAAGAGGGAGGGAGGGAGGGGAGAAGGGGAAGGAAGAGGGGGAAGAAAAGAGGAGAGAAAAGGGAAGGAATAATAAGAATAAGAATAAGAATAATTTGCATCAAGATGTGTTCTCTGTTGTTGTTTGTCTGTCACTTGTCCTATGTTACGTGTTACACCTTGAACATGGTGCTATAACCCCCCCTTCACTTATGTACCCAGGCTCACACTGAACGGGGTGAATAGTTATGCTATTCACAGTTACTGTGATAGTAATAGCAATAGTAATAGTTACTTGAATAGTTACTGTATACACATTTATTGTCTGTATTGTAATATATTGTGTATATATGCTCTTTTTCTGTTTTATTAAAAATAAAGTTGTCCTCCAAAGAGGGGGGGTGGTGGCGGGCGAAAAAAAAAAAAAAAAAAAAACATTAAAGATTTTAAATCCTTCTAAAAACTATTAGTATCTCTCCTTTGATTAGGAGACTTGGCTCCAGAGGGACTGATTGTAAAGTGTCTGCTAAATGACTACTTTACTTTGCTTCCCCAAATCCAAATGTGCCCTTTAGCTCAAACCCTGATCAAACTCACATGTAATTGTCATGTTACTTGAGGCCTTCCAGCATCTATACATCCTACAAACCTTACAAGAGACCCAACAATACAAATGCCAAATGCCATTAGATGTTTCTGCATCAGAATAATGTTGCATAAAGTTATGCACGGTCTGAGAAATAAATAATAGACACAGATGTCACATAATGTCTGAATGTCTGCTATCTTTAAAATAATGGCACTTGCTTAGTTTGTTTTTAATGCAATGCAATCCCATTCAGACATAGTGTGACTTAAGTAACCAAATACTTTTTTTATTTCTTAGTGCACACTGAAAAAGTTTCAATGGGGTTCTATAGATCCCAAGGGTTCAATTTAAAAGAACCCTTTATGCCAAAAAGGTTCTTTATAAGGAGAAATGTCTTAAATTATTGAACCATGTTTAAAAGGTTATTTCAATCTTTTCTTGTGGTACACTCAGAAAGAAAGGTACAAAAGCTGTCACGGTGGCGGAACCTTTTCAAAAGGTACACTTTTTTGCCTAAAGGGTATTGGTAGCCTAGGAACAAAAGTGTACCTTTTAAAAAATGTACTGCCCCAGTGACAGCTTTTGTACCTTTTTTTTCTGAGAGTGTAAAGTATATGTTTATACTTATACTTTGAGCTGCTTAATTAAAAACGTTTAAAAAAATAAGTTCATTTAAAGTAAATCCATAAAATAATGTCATGACAGGAATCCCTAAAAGGTTATATATATTATTATATATTTTCTGCTGAGAGTGATAACTTTACAACAAAGCAGTGCGTCCAAATACTAGCCTACGTATGTATAGCCTATAACATTGCTTACACCAGCAGACAGCAGATATCAGAGAAGAGTTCAGGATGCTTGTAAGCATGTTTGGCCTATATGTAGATTATATGTCAACACTCATCTTTACAGTGGCTCTCAGGAGGAGGTGTGTGCTGGAACTTCGCCTCACCTTTGGTCGTTTCCAAACCACATCGGTCTGAATCGGCATGTTCTGCACCGGGAACCGCGCGTCCATGTACAGGCCGTCCTGCAGAGGAATCCCGGAGCTGGGAGACCACAGAAGAGTCGGGCTGCCCAAACTATCCCAGGCGTTCGAGTCGGACGAGTCCGTGCTCGACTGTTTCTTTGTTATGGACATACTGGACTGCGTCAAAAACTCTTGCCTCGGGGATCCGCTCATGATCGCGCGCGACTTTTAAACCTCCTCGATCTAATGCTAATGTGTTAGGAAGCGAGTGTGTGCCTGAATGCAGAAATACGCAATTCGAGTTATCCCTAATGTCAACAATGTCAGCGAGTCGTCGGTGTGTGGTAAAGTGCGTTTATAAAGCAGGTCTTCCTCACTTCACCTTTAACCAGCTCCTCCCTCACCTGAAGAGCTGCTCGCGCGCACCCATAACAAATACACACGAACTGTCACGAGAGAAAACATCTGTCATGATCAATGACAAGTGACAACCACAGTGGAAAATGAACCATACATAGCAAAAAGCGTATAACAATTATGAGGCACAAACCACTATCTCAGAACCTTGGCTAATGTTCTAGGTTCTTTAAAAGTTATGAATAAACGTTAGTAACGTTAATAGAACGTTCGTTCGAAGTCATGGCCTTTAATAATGTTCTCAAAACTCTAAAACCAATACATTCTTTCATGGAACGTTTTTTTTTATAGATAGGTTTATAGTTGGATGGTCGTCTAATTATTTTTTAAATGTTAGCCTACTATTTCAGAGAACATTCAAAAGTATAACGTTCCCATAATGTTTGAAGAATAATCAAATGGAATGTTCAGGAAAAATAAAACGTTTTAAAACATTTTTGAAGAACTGGACGATTGAACGTTCGGGGAACATTCCATTCAGAAATAAAGTTTTAACTTAATGGGAACGTTAGTAAAAGTCTTTTAGAACATAATTTTTGTTGGCTGGGAAAGCGTTGATATACACACACATTTTAGTTACTGAGATGCAGAAAGCAGAAAACAGAAAGGGGAAAACAACTAAATGAGCTAAACAATATTGTCTTTGGAAGAAAATATAGTATTTTGAATAACAGTAATATAATCACACATTTTTATGGCTGGTTAGAATTTATGGACAGTAAATTTTATAATTTCAGCCACTATTGGCATGCAGGTGTGGCAAAAAGTTCATTTTGGACCCTTCATCCGTACAGCCCTTCCTTCAACAAACACTGCTGTATCCTACAGCCCTTCCTTCAACACTGCTGTAAAAAGGACTCAAATCTGTAAAAGGTTTAGATCTGTACTGTATAGACTGATGTAAAGAACTTGATGAGTCAGTAGACCAGAGAATAGAGACGAAGGATGAGTCTCACAAAGCCTGTCGACAAACAAGAAGACACGTCCAGATCATATTTCACCCCATTCAGAAACACTAGTTCAAACATTTGGTGGCAGTAAGATTTTCAAAATGTAAAAAAAACAAGAAGATCTACTGCTCACCAAGGCTGCATTTATTTAATCAGAAATACAGTAAAACAGTGAAATATTATCTATTTGAATATATGTTAAAATGTCATTTATTCATGGGATGCAGAGCTGAATTTTCAGCATCATTACTCCAGTCTTCAGCGTCACATGATCCTTCAGAAATCAGTCTATGATTTGTTGCTCAAGAAACATTTATGATTATCAGCAATGTTGAAAAGTTGGAATTTTTGTGGAAACCATGATATTTTTTTTTCTGAATTCTGAATGTTCAAAAGAACAGCGTTTATGTGAAATAGAAATCTTTTGTAACATTATGTATTTCCTGTCATAACAACTGGCATAAAGCAAATGAATACAGAATTGTAATAGTACAAAATAGTGCACAAATATAATTTCTTATTTAACTTGATTATGATGCATCTGACCAGAACATTTAATGCTAAATAATTAGCATTTTTTGACAGGTGAATTTAGATTTAATTTTCGATGCAGTAAGTATTAAAAACAGACTATGCTGTGGTTTAATTAAAACAGCCATCAATCATCTGCTGTCATCAGGAAACATTTACAATAGGCTACCTTTATTCATAGTAGACGTTTTAATCCAAAATGAATTGCAAATGAGGAATTCACCCTGAAGCAACAGTAACATGAGAAGCATTTCCTCAAAGTTTCTAAGAAGTAGACATGTGACGGTGAAACAGTAGAACAGGGTTTAGTGTATATTTCATTATGCAAAGGAGGAAGTTTTTTTGTGCATGGAGACGTGAAGTATTTATGTTTTTTTAAATGTGTTTTTCCCTTATAAGTCTTATGTGATGTATTGACGTTGTTTGATGGTGGTGACTGTAAAATATCTGAGCAATCACCCCAGAAAGTAGGCTATTATTATTATCATGATAGTGTGATGAATGTGCTTGTGGAAGAGTTGATGCTTCTTGAAGATTAAGAGAGAGAGAGAGCTGGAAATATCATTCCTCCACCGACATGAATGTGAAATCTGTCATTGAAATGCATGAACATAACCCCGAGGTACCACAGTTAACTGATAAAATACGAATGAAAATAACTAATATCTTTTAGATCTATGAAAACGAATCGGTTACCTAACGTAACCTCGGTTCTCTTTAGAAGAGGGAACGAGTATTGCGTAAGCTAGCTTACGCTGCGGGAAAGATTCATCTTTGCTGAGAGTTTGAAGCCAAAAAATTATTTCATAATTTGTATCCATTGACAACGCAGTTCCTCTGCGGCAGACCTAGAGCAGGCTAGCTAGCAGCTCATTGGTTCGCTCAGAGAGAACTGCTTAAGCCTATGGGAGAGCGGGGCTGAACCCGCTGCCAATGAGAAGCGCCCGCGCGCTCATTGCATCATGGCCCGCCAGAATGGGCGTGGCTATGGTGTATATAACAGTCTCTCCCAGGCTTATATGTTGATTTATTTCAGCGTGAAGCGAAACGCTAGTAGCGCAAGCACGGCCGGGAACGCAATACTCGTTCCCTCTTCTAGAGAGAACCGAGGTTACGTTAGGTAACCGATTCGTTCTCTTACGAGAGGTTCTCTCGTATTGCGTAAGCTAGCTTACGCTGCGGGAACACCTGGTCAACGCCGTGCGCGCTATGAATCCACTCATGAATCCCAGGGTGATACCGGGGGATTTTTAACGTGGAGTGAATGTAATATGAGGCCGGCAGAGCGGGCACATGAAGTATATACATAAGCATCTAAGGAGAGCACAAGGGGCGAACCGGTTGTGTGAGGGACTCCCAGTAATGCAGCTTCTTAGGGAGCTGGTCGTTAGACAGCTAGTAATTTTGCCTGCAAGGCGGGAACTTCCAAGTTGTAAAATCTGACAAAAGTGGATGGGGAGGCCCATCCCGCGGCCACACAAATGTCATGAATGGAAATTCCACAGGACCATGCCCACGATGAGGCCATGCCTCTAGTGGAGTGCGCCCTGATGCCCAGAGGGCAGGGCAGGCATTTAGATGCGTAAGCAGAGGCGATAGCGTCTACTATCCATCTAGACAGTGTCTGTTTAGAGGCGGCCAGACCTTTGGTGCGCCCCCCAAACGACACGAAAAGCTGCTCAGCGCGTCTGAACGCGGCAGCGCGCGTAGTGTACAATCTCAGAGCCCGCACCGGGCAGAGGAGATTGGCGTCGCGCTCACTATCGGATGAAGGCAGAGCCGATAGGGAAATAATCTGAGCCCTGAACGGGGTACCAATCGCCTTCGGGACATAGCCATGCCTAGGTTTGAGAATGACAACAGAATCATTCGGTCCAAACTCAAGACACGCGGCGCTGGATGAGAGCGCGTGAAGATCCCCCACGCGTTTTACTGAGGACAGAGCCGTCAGAAAAACGGTTTTGATCGAGAGGTATTTTAGGTCCACAGACTCGAGCGGTTCGAACGGGGGTGCTTTCATAGCTTCGAGAACTATAGAAAGATCCCAGATAGGAACCGAAGGGGGGCGCGGAGGGTTCATCCTCTTAGCTCCCCTGAGGAAGCGGATGACTAACTCGTCTTTGCCCAGGGACTGAGCGCGTCGGGGTTCAGAGAACGCCGCGACGGCTGCCACGTAAACCTTGAGAGTGGAGGGGGACCTGCCCTTGTCCAGCATCTCTTGAAGGAAAACAAGCAAAGACGGCACCTCGCATGACCGTGGGTCCAGATGTTTGTCGGTGCACCATTTTGAGAACACAGACCATTTAGACGCATAGAGCCTTCTCGTGGAAGGTGCTCTAGCCTGTATGATAGTGTTTCTTACTCCCTCTGGCAAATCGACGAATAGTCGTTGATCACCCATGCATGTAGCGCCCAGCGCCGTGGATGGGGGTGCCAGATCGTGCCGCGAGCTTGAGAGAGGAGATCTGCTCTGACTGGGATGGGCCACGGGGCTGTCTGTGACAGCTGAGTGAGCTCCGGAACCCAATTCTGACTCTCCCAACGCGGGGCTATGAGGAGCACCGAGTGGCGTGTGTCCCTGATCCTCTGAATTACCTGTGGTAGCAGAGTGATCGGAGGGAATGCATAGAGCGGGCGGCGAGGCCATTCCTGGGCTAGCGCGTCCTCGCTCCTTGAAAAAAATGTTGGGCAGTGAGCGTTCTCTTCTGACGCGAAGAGGTCCACTTCTGCTCTGCCGAATCGCCGCCACAGTATTTGGACCGTTTGTGTGTTCAGGGACCATTCTCCTGAGGAGATGAGGTTCCTGGACAGTATGTCTGGACCGTCGTTCAGATGGCCCGGCACTTGCGTCGCTCTGAGCGAGAGCAGGCGGCTCTGAGACCAAACTAAAATGCGGTGTGTCAGTAGGAAGAGATTCCTGGATCTGACACCGCCCTGACGGTTGAGATAGGAGACCACAGCCATGTTGTACGAACGGATCAGGACGTGGTGTCCCCGAATGAGCGGGAGGAAGCGCGAGAGCGCGTTCTCGACCGCAAGCATTTCCAGACAGTTTATGTGTAAGGGGCTTTCCTGTGTCGACCAATGGCCGAAGGCCGGTGAGCCCTCGCAGACTGCACCCCAACCCGTGTTGGATGCATCTGTCGAGATGACTTTTCGGCGGGAAAAGGTCCCCATCGTGACGCCCTGCCGAAACCATTCTGCTACTGTCCATGGCTGCAGCGCCGTGAGACATGTCTGCGTAACTCTGATCAGCTGGCGGCCTGTGTTCCACGCGCGGTGGGGTACACGGCTGTTTAACCAAAGCTGAAGCGGGCGCATGTGCAGAAGGCCCAGCTGAAGCACAGCGGAGGCTGAGGCCATGTAACCCAGCATCCTCTGAAAAGTTTTCAGAGGTGTGCGGGTGCCCATCTGAAACGAGGCGGCAAGTCGCTGAACACTGCGCCCGCGCTGTGTGGACAGGCGAGCCGTCATCGTGACCGAGTTCAAATCTATTCCT